ACCCCCAAATGAATAAAAATTATTTTATCTCTAAGGGTCCAAAGCTCTTGGGATTGGAATTCTGGGAATATCAGCTTTTTCCTAATGATCCCTCTGGAATGCACAGGGGAAAGATCTGCTGGAAGAAAGAATTCCAGGAGCAAAACCCTCTCCTGCTCCTTCCCAGGGCACAATAAAGGAGATTTTTAATATTTTGGGAGCTCTGATAAGACTCTGCTTCCCCTGTTCCTGGGAGCAGCCAATTTTTGGAATCCGTCCTTGAAATCCCTCTTGGAAACAAAGAAAGATGGAATTATTCAACCAAATGCACCCCTGAGTACTAAAAATAACATTTTAATGCTTCCTTTTTACCCCAAAAATGGCGTTTTACCCCACGTTTTTGAAATGGGGGGAGATTAAAAACAGACTCAGTGCCAAGACCCAGCCCAGCCTCGGGAATCTTGTGGAATTTGCTCTGCTCCACTGGAAAATTCCAGATTTTCCCCTTGTGTGAAGGAGTTTGGGCTGAGTGGAAGAATTTTTAGGGGGAAAAAAAGGGGCTTTTTGGGGGGGGATGGATTAATTTCAGTTGTGGCAAAATCAGGGAATTTTCTCCCCTAAAAGGGAAAGGAAAGCTGGGAAAATCCACCAAAATCCCAGGTTATTTTGGGAAATCCATCCATTTTCCCTGGGTTCTGTTTCCCAGCATCAAAGAGCAGAAAACTTTGCCAAATCCCATGAATCCCATGAAAATAATCCCATGGAAATAAATAGAAATAACTCTGAAGTGGCTGCAGGATGGTCTGGTTGGAAAAACCCAAGAGCCAAGGAAGATTCTGGATATTCCTCCCTTAAATTCCAGAAAATAAAGCAAAATTAGGACTGGATTGGAGCAAAAACTGGGAAAAGAGGAAGGAATTCTGCTCATTCCTGTCCTGATTTCCAGGAAATTGCTGATCCCAAAACTGCAGCCCCAAGATTCTCCTGGTTCTGGAGAAATCTGGGATGTGGAAGGCAAAGCAGGAATGTGGGTGAGGAAAATTCCAGGAATAAATCCTTTGCCACCTGCTGGAAAAATCTGCTGAAGCTTGCAAACACCGAGGTATTTAAGGAAAACACCAGAAATTCCTGCCCTGCCTGCGTGGGAATCCTTGGAAAAGCTGGCAGCTCCTTCCTGCCGTTTGTTCTGGGGTGGGAATTTAAAAATCTGTTAAAAATCCACACCAAAATAAAATTCCCAACCCATGATTCCTCCAGAAAATGCTGGGGTGGGAAGGGAACAAGGAGGGAGGAGAAATTCCAGATATGAATGGTGAATCTCTGGCATGGTGGAGGAGGCTCCGGCCCCACATGGATCCTGTTGGACAACGAGTCCTAATTCCAAGAGGAATTTTGGTTTTTTTCAGAGGAAAACTCCTTCACTTCTCCTTGCAGAGCAGAAAAAGCAGCTGGAATTTTATCCCAGAGGGGACTCTGGCAGTGCCAAACTTGAGATGAAAAAAGAATTGGAAAAGTGGAGATTTATGGCTCAGTTTGAGAATTTTGGGGGTGGAATGGCATCATCCCAGCTTTCCTTTTGCTTTTCCTATTCCTGCAAACTCCAAACTCTTCCCTTTTTCCCTGCTCCCGTTTTAATAAAATCAGGGAAAAGTTTGATTTCTAAGTGAATTGCTCCCTAAAATGATCACAGAAAATCCCTTTTTTTGCAGCCTGGGATGTGGGAATGCCTCAGCTCCCAATCCCACAGAGGGAAGTGGGATCCCTCAGGCCCTGTTCCCTGCACTTCCCAGATTTAGGATCCCATTTTCCCTCTGGAAAATCCCACCAGGAAAACACGATAGGAACACCGTGTTTACCTCCCTGGTGGATTTCTGCCATTCCATTTTTATTCATTTCCTGGGGAACATCATCCCAAATGAGGTTTAATTTATTCCCAGCTGCTGGTGTTTATTTAATTCCCACCTTTTTCCACCTGTGGAATAACTCCATCCTAGCAGATGTTCCCTGAAATTTGAGGATGGAGCAGGAAAAGCTGCTCAGAGGGAGGGGTTGGGGTGGGGTGGGAAGGTGAGACCTGTTCTGGAGCTGGGGAAGGGAAAAGGGAAAAAGGGGAAGGAAATGGGAAAATGGGGAAGGAGGAGAAAGGGGAAAGGGAAAAAAAGGGGAAGAAAGGGAGAGGAGGGAAGGGAAGGGAAGGGAAGGGAAGGGAAGGGAAGGGAAGGGAAGGGAAGGGAAGGGAAGGGAAGGGAAGGGAAGGGAAGGGAAGGGAAGGGAAGGGAAGGGAAGGGAAGGAAGATTTACTCATGGATGCAAAATTTGGGATGAAGAGAAGCCGGAGAGCCCTGGCGCCATAACCCCATCCCAAAGCTGCTCATTCCTGGGGTTGCACAGCTTTCCCAGCCCGGTTCCTCACTGCTTTTCCAGAATTTTTCACTATCCCAGCTCCCAGCCCCCCTCTCTCCAGCAGATCCAGTCTAAAATAATCACAACAATCTGCCAAATTAGCTCTGTTTTCCCAGGAATGAACCATTTCCACTGCAGCCAAATGGGCCCTGCCCGTTCCTGGGGCACATCCCTGCACTGCGGTGGCACAGGCAGTTAAATGGAGCCTGGGAAATAATCTCATTTCTGCCTCCTCTGCTTTTCATTCCATGTTCCCTCCAGACCAATTATCCCCAGGAATTGAATCACGGGGATTGGCACCGCCGCTCCCTGCGGGAGAAGTGGGAAAACAAGAGGAGCCACTGGAGGGAAAGGAGGGAAATGGTTTGGGATGGAGGGAAAGGGGCTGGGAATTCTCCCTGAGAGCCACAACAGCTCTGGGATCCTTCTCCCAACATTTTCCTGCCCTTGGCAGGGTGGGAATGGGATCAAACCCCTCTCCCCAGCAGAGATGCTCCAAAGAACCAGAATTCTGGTGATTTTTAAAGTCCTTTCCAACCCAAACCATGTGGATTTTATAGAAAATAAAAGGAATTCCATTTCACCATAATTTCTCAACCCTTCCCCCTCCAACTTTCAAACAGGCTGGGAATAAAATCCCTCTTATCAGCAGAGGGTGATAAATGTTGGGATATTTGATAAATGTGTCAGAGTATTGGATAAATGTGTTGGAATATTTGTTTAAATGCCTTGGGGTGTTTGGATTCTTTTTTTCCCAGCCCGTTTTTTCACTTTTTGTGGGTTAAAGGCTGAGGTTTCCCACAGTGAGGTTTCCCTTTTTCCAAGTGCTGCTGGCTGGGAGGGCTGGGAGCAAAACTTTGCTGCTTGGAGTCCTGGGAAAAGTGGGATAAAGGCTGCTCCAGGGTTTTCCCTTCAGTCATAATCCTATAAAATATAATAATTCTATGTTATAAATATATTTAACAACAAAAAGAGGGAAGATTTTGGAAGGAATTCCAGGCTGGGATGGAATTCCAGTGAAGCTGTGGCTGCCCCATCCCTGGGATGTTCAAGGTTGGACAGAGTTTGGCAAAACTTGGGATGGTGGAAGGTGTTGGAGTTGGAACTGGATGGGCTTGAAGGTCTCTTCCAAACCCAAATCATTCCAGGATTCCCTGATTTCTCCCTCAGGATCCAAAATCAGGGCTGTAAAATGCAATCATGAGGAGAAATCCATGAAAAACCCCCAAAGGACAACCCAAACTCTTGGATCCCAAACCCTCCTTGACATTCCCAAAAGAATGGGAGCAGTTTTTAGCAGGAAAAGCAATTCCTGGATAATCCTAAATTCAGATAACACAAAATCCCAGGAATTCCAACCCCACACCCCATCAATGGGCTCTGCAAATGTTCCCTGCCCAGGGTTTTTGTGGGAATTTTGCCTTTAAGGAAAATTTTCCCCCCTTTGAGCAGCTGCTTTTTAAAGGTTAAAAATCCCAGTAAAACAGGAAATGATGGAATTTTGGTCTGGTCATTTTTCGCTGGTTTTGGACACTCACATATTTAACAAATGCCCAATAATGGCTCCGTGGCATTTGCTGGGGATGTGGATAATTGTGGATAAAATGATGAATAACAGCTCATCCACAGGCTTTGCTTCCAGGGAAAAGTCAGAACACAGCACCAGCTCCACTCCACACCCCAGTGCTGAAGTGGAAATTCAGGATTGCAGCCCCCAAGCTGGTTAAATTATCTCTTTTTCCCTTGAAAAAAAATTAAAATTAAAAATCTGTGGATTCATCTCAGCAGGTGCCATGGATTGGGAGTGGTTTTCCCCATGGGCAAATTGTCAATCAAACCTGGAAAATTTGGGTTTTTTTATTAATAATGCCTGAGCAGCTTAAATTCCTTGCTGTGAGTGAGTGATCCTCAGTTTTATTGCTCTCATTTCAAGCTATAAATATTTTATTTCCACCTGGATATTGTCATTATTCCTAAGAAATATTCACTCCTATTCATTATTATTCCTAATAAATGTTCACCTCCTATTTAATTATTAGGAGATGAAATCCCCCCAAAATAGGCACACATGCTGTAGATTGCAGATGGAATAAATTGATTTTAAGCTGGTGGGAAGGGAAGGGAAGGGAAGGGAAGGGAAGGAAGGGAAAGGAAAGGAAAGGAAAGGAAAAGGAAAGGAAAGGAAAGGAAAGGAAAGGAAAGGAAAAGGAAAAGGAAAGGAAAGGAAAGGAAAGGAAAGGAAAGGAAAGGAAAGGAAAGGAAAGGAAAGGAAAGGAAAGGAAAGGAAGGAAGGAAAGGAAAAGGAAAGGAAAGGAAAGGAAAGGAAAGGAAAGGAAAGGAAAGGAAAGGAAAGGAAAGGAAAGGAAAGGAAAGGAAAGGAAAGGAAAGGAAGGAAAGGAAAGGAAAGGAAAGGAAAAGGAAAGGAAAAGGAAAGGAAAGGAAAAGGAAAGGAAAAGGAAAGGAAAAGGAAAGGAAAGGAAAAGGAAAGGAAAAGGAAAGGAAAAGGAAAGGAAAGGAAAAGGAAAGGAAAAGGATTTTATCCCAAGTAGAAGAAAACCGAGTGAACACAACACTTTAATGTACAATTTCTCAATTTATTTCATATGAAAGCTCGCAGATTTTTTTTTCACACTTGCCAATGGCTGAACAGAAAAGAAGGAAGAGTTTTTCTCCTGGTTTTTCCAGGCTGGTACAGAAATCACTGTTTGTAACTCGCCACCTCCAGGTCCACGGGGTAGCGAACTCGGTAGCCCATGCACTTCTGCCGGTCAATAAAAATGCTGTTGGCTTTCACAGCAATCTCCTTCTCCAGCTTCATCCTGGTCTCCTCCAAATTCTTCAGTTCTGCTCTGACTCCATCAGTTTTCTCTTCAGGGCCTCCAGGAATACTGTGAGCTCCTCCACTTCGTTCACCAACCTGCAAGGAGTTGGGTTAAAGCATGAAAAATCAGGGGATGGTGATCCAAGAGATTGGGTTTGGGGTAAGGAGCAACTACAGAATCTAAAATTCATCAGGAAAAGGCCTCAGAGAAGTCCAAGAAAAGATTGGATTTGGGGTAAAGATCAACTACAGAGTCAAAAATTCATCAGGAAAAAAGTTCAGAGAAATCCAAGATTGGATTTGGGAAAAAGGATCAACTACAGAATCAAAAATTCATCAGGAAAAAACCTCAGAAAAATCCAAGATTGGATTTGGGAGAATGATCAAGTACAGAATCTAAAATTCATCAGGAAAAAGCCTCAGAAAAATCAAGAAAATATTTGATTTGGGATAAAGATCAACTACAGAACTGAGAAGTAATTTCTGACTTTGAGTAAAAAAATTAAAAGTTGTGAGGTAAAAAATTTTTTTAAACTGCCCCAAATGGGATCACTTTGGGATGGAACAGAAGCCTTGGGGGAGTTGATTAATGACCTAAGTTGGGGTTAATTGCCTAATTTGGTGCTGATTTCCTGACCTGAACTGGGGCTCATCCCTGCAGAGCTCGACGTTGGGCCTGGAGGATCTGTCGTAGAGCCTGGTGTGAGCCACCTTCAGGAAAGCTTCCTTGTCCCTGATGGCTTTTTTCAGGTTCACAATGTTGGCTTCCTCATCCCCAATATCCTTCAGGATCTGGAGAGAAAATCCAAGGGAAAAAAAAACCTTCAAACAATGATGAATATCAGCCCCAAAAATATCTGTTCATGGTGAAGCATTAAAGTTTTCACCACCAGTCTGGAGAATGAAGTACAACGAGAATAATTTTCATTTTAGATGATAATACAAATAATTTTATTTTATTTAAGATTAAATGCAAGAATTAAGGTGGGTTTGACCTGTTTATTTTTAATATTACACTGAGAATCACAGCTTTAATTTAAATAAAACAGAAAATATTCTGCAGCTTCTCCCATGTCCCAAAACCATGGGAGAGATCCCAAACCTCTCTCATGGGATGAAAACACATCCCACCTCCATGGAGTGCTTTGAATTGTAAATTTTAACTAGAAATCCAAGAAAAAAATCAATTTATTTTGAAGGAGAGCTGCTGATCAGCTTGGAAATACCTGGTTTTCTCAAGAAATAGAAAAGACAGGAAATCCTGAATTGTTCCCTTCATAACCATTGATACACATGCAAAAAATAAAGATATCCAGCTGTCATTCCCAGATCCTAAGGAATTAATATTTTTTTCACACTTGCCAAAGGCTAAAAGAGAAAAAAGGAGCTACTCCATATTGGAAAAGGGGAAAGTCCCAAGGCCACCCCTTGTTCACAGAAAAAATAAAAGTACTGTAGTGGTTTTGACCTCTTTATTTTTATTATTATGCTGAAAATCCCATTTTCAGTCTAAAAAGAAGCTGGAAATATTCCCTCAAAACCTCTTCCATGTGTTCTGTGGGATGACAACACATCCCCATGCCAGGAATTGCCACCAGGGGCTAAGGAATGACTTTTTTCCCACATTTCCAATGACCTCAGTCCAGAGATGAGGAAAATCTTTACTCCCAAAGTTTTTAAAGAAGGAGCAGGACTTCATTTAAAAAACCTAGTAAATAACTTTTAAAGAGCACAGAATTCCACATAAAATCCAGTAAAATCCACAAAAGAAGGAGTTGCTCCATGTTGGAGGAGGCTGAAGTCAACTGCCAGGTTGACTTTGCTGCCATCCCAGAAAAATCCGGGAATCCTGGCTCAACCAGAGCTGCCTGATCGGCCAGTTTTAGGGTTTAATCCAGGCTTAAAGTGTTTAATTCAGGTTTAAAGGGTTTAAATCAGGATTAAAGTGTTTAACTGAACTCCATCCCAACAAAACCCGCCGAGACCGCAACAAAACCCCAAAACCTCTCCCCGTATCCTAATCTGACACCAAAATATTTCACTCCTATGCGGATTAAACCATTTTTTTTCTGGTTTAACAATGCCAGAACTCCACGAAGAGCCCCGGACCTGCTGCAGGTGGTTCTCCAGGCGCAGTTTGGCGTCGTCCAGCTCCCTGCAGTGGCTGTCAAAGGCCTCGTTGACCGCCGCCCGCTGCATGCGCAGGTCCTCGGACGCGTCGTGGATGATGTTGTTGATCAGGGACCGGAGCTGCACCGACGCCAGTTTCTCCTGTTCTGCCCTGGAAATGTTGTCGTGGCTGAACTGGGCCCAGGATTTCGGTGTGGAGGCGCTGGAAGAACAAGGAATGGGGTAAATTGGGAGTTTGGGCTTTAAGAAAGGGGTTCTTACCCTGGGAAAGTGGGGTTGGTTTTTGGTTGGTTCAGGTCTTGCTTGTGGTGTGGGTTTCTCGTGAGGAATGGGATTAATCCTTTAAGGAGTTAATAAAAGTTTTCAAATCAATTAATAAAAATTCTGGGATAAATTAATAGAATATTCTAATAAATTAATGAAAATCCTTTAATAATTTAATAAAATCCTCCAATAAATTAATGAAAATTCTTGAATAAATTAAGAAAAATCTTCTAATAAATCAATAAAAATTCTCTAATAAATTAATAAAAATTCTTGAATAAAGTAAGAAAAATCCTTTAATAGATCAATAAAAATCCTCAAATAAAGTAATAAAAAGCCTTGAATAAATCAGTTAAAATCCTTGAATAAATTAATAAAATATTCTAATAAATCAATTGAAGTCCTTGAATAAATCAGTTTAAATCCTCAAAAATCAGTTAAAATCCTCAAATAAATTAATTAAAAATCTTGGATAAATTAATAAAATATTTTAATGAATCAATAAAAATACCTTGAATTAATTAAGAAAAATTCTTGAATAACTTAAGAAAAACTTCTAATAAATCAATAAAAATTCTCCAATAAATTAATAAAAAATCCCCAAATTAATAATCTCTCGCTCCTGTGGCTTCAGAGGGAACTGAAGCCTAAAATAAAATCAGTCCAAGTGCTCCATCTTGAGCTAAAGCTGCTCAAAACATTCACACACATTTTTTTTGTCCAGTTCAGTCATGGCAAATAAACTCAGGAATATATTCAGGATTTACAGGATGGAAATAAAAATAAAAACCAGGATCTTGACAGGCTGGAGAGGAGAAGGCTCCAGGGAGAGCTCAGAGCCCATTCCAGAGCCTGAAGGGGCTCCAGGAGAGCTGGACTGGGGACAAGGGATGGAGGGACAGGACACAGGGAATGGATGAGATGGGATAGACGGGATATTGGGAAGGAATTCCCTGAGAGGGTGGGCAGGGGCTGAGATAGAATTCCCAGAGAAGCTGTGGCTGCCCCATCCCTTGGAAGAACCCAAGGATGGAGTTAGAGCAGCCTGCGATGGTGGAAGGTGTTGGGATTGGAACCGGATGAACTTCCAGGAACTTCCAACCCAAACATTCTACGCAGAGCATCCAGCACAGCCTTTCCATCCATGGAGCTGCCTTGAAGCTCTTCCCACACCCAGTCCCAGCTGGGATTGGGCGTTCCAGGTGTGAGATCCTGGGAATTACTCACTTCTCCTCGAACTTGACGGAGCTGGGGTGGTACTGGACGTCGGTGCTGTCGGTGCAGTAGCCGACGCATTTGTCGTCGATGTTGTACGTCTCCACCTTATCCGACCAGTCCAGCTCGCAGTTCTCCTTCTGGATCCGGTTGGACCTGGAAAAGTTGGGATCACAGCTCAGCTGGAAGCAAGAGAATTCCCAATCTACCCCTCTTTGGGAAGCACAGCTCCACCCTTTGTGTTCTACAGGGAAACAAGACCATGAAATTCCTTGCGGGTTGGAAAATCCCAAACTCTCCCTTCCTACCGCCATCTCCTGGAAGAGGAGCCTGACTGAGATGGGATTTTGGGAAAAAATTCCAGTGTGAGGATGCCTGGAAGAGGAGCCTGACTGAGATGGGATTTTGGGAAAAAATTCCAACGTGAGGATAGGGAGGCTTTGGAATAGAATCCCCAGAGAAGCTGTGGCTGATCCTGGATCCTTGAAGTGTCCAAGGCCAGGTTGGAGCACCCTGGGATTGTGGAAGGTCCCTGCCCATGGAACTGGATAATCTTTAATGATATTCAGATTAAAATTGCTGCTTTGTTGTTAATTAGAGTCACACATCGCTCAGTTATATAATGATTTTAATTACAAAAGCCTGTGGGTTGTTATCAGCTGATAACAGCAGGTGTCACTCTCAGCCAAGGAATTGGGAATTCTCTTGGAAAAGGGGAATAAAATGGGACTAAACTTAGACTAAAATGGGGCTAAAATGATCTTAAAACAATTAAAATCTCCAAATTAAATGCATTAGGCTCCTCTCATGCTCTAATTAATATAACAGAGCTACTTAATATTAATTGGCATTTACAGCCATTTTTTAAAAAACAGTATTTCTTTTATCAGGTAGAACAGGAGCAGATTGAGGGATTTTTTTAACTAAAATATGAAGTTTCCAGCATGATTCCTTTATATTGATGGAATTTAGGATACAATAACATCTTTCCAAAGGGTTTGTTAGAAATTCCAAGGAAATAATCCTTTGGAATGGCAAGGAACACCTGGCCTGGCACAGAAATTCCAGATCTAAAGTCCACACTGACCTCTGGTGGCAAAAAAAATTCCTCTTGGAAAGCGCCTTTGATCCCCAAAAGCCCTTTAATAATACAAAGATATTCCCAAGAAGATATCCAGAGAATATTTTTATAGCAGTGGAATTTAGTGTTGGAAAACAAATCCAACACAGTTGTGGAAAGCAGGAAAATCTAAATCTACCTGAAAATCCGGGTTTACACGGAATTCCCTCAGCTTGTAAGCCTGGCCTGGCTGAGATCTGTGTCCACCTTTATCCCAGGAATTATTTGGCTGAAGAATCCTGGGAAATGTTTTACCTTATCTGGGTGGCAGCTTGGATGATGGTTCTTTTCAGAAGATCACGGATATCCCGGATCAGATCCGCTTCCTAAAGAAAAACAGGGACAATTCCATGGATCCACAGCGGGAAACACAATCCTGAGGAGCAACTTGGGGATAAATCCTTAAATTTCCTTATCTACTCTCACTTTTGTTATGGTAAAACTTGGAATTCTGTGGATTCCATGAAAAAGTCTGAGTGTTATCCTGTTATGGAAGGAATTCTTCCCTGGCACAGATTCCCAGAGAAACTGTGGCTGCTCCATCCCTGGAATGTCCAAGGCCAGGTTGGAAGGGGCTTGGAGAAACCTGGGATAGTGGGAGAGGGTGGGAATAGTGGGAAGAAGTGAGAATCAATGATTTTTAAGGTCCCATCCATCCCAAACCATTCCAGGATTCCATGTTCCCATCAGATTAAATGGGATAAATAAATTCCCTGCTCAGTTTTGAGATAGGGAAAAATCAGGGAATATTCCCATGCCTGGAACCATGGACTTGATGAGCTCTCAAGTCTTTTCCAGCCTAAAAATGGTAACAATTCCCACATGGAAATATCCTACCCCAACTCTTCCCTGTTTATATTTTTAACTGGTAAAACCTCTTAAATATTGGTTATAAGTCAGAAATTACACCAAATTCCCATTCAAAATATTCCTAAATCCTACCATGCCCTCTATGTGGAATCCTAGAATATCCTGAGTTGGGAAGGATCCAAAGGGATCAAGAAATTCCTGGTTCTTCTCAGGATAATCCCCAAAACCCCCCCGGGTTTAAACATTTCAGTCTGATCCATACTTTTCAAATATTAATCCTCTGGTTTAATGAGTAACTGATCATGAATCGACTCTGATGGGAGGCTGCAGGTGAATAATCATGAAATAATTTATGGGATATTGGAATAGGTGTAATTCCAGGATGGAAAATGTGTATTTTGTAACATCCAGCACAAGAATGACACTGGAACTTGACAGGAATCTCGATGACAGGGTTGGATCATCACCTTGGCAAAACTCGGGCAGAATTAATGACAGAAACTGCCAAAATTTGGACAATTTGAGCATGGGAACAACCAAGGAATATCCCAATGTTCCTGAACTTCTGGATTGTGGACTTTTAAAGTCAGAGAGGAGGGGATTTCAAGGCGAGTAGAGAAGGAATTTATGCCAGAATAGGATTTTTGTGCTGGTGCAGGAAAACTCTGGGTCGGTTTTGTTGGGGTCCGGGCTGAGGGAGGGATCTGCTCTCCTCCAGCCACACTTCCAAAGTGATTTAATCACTTCCCAAAGTGATTTGAACACTTTTTAAACATAGCAAGGACTCGAAAAATTCCTCGGAGTGACACTTGGAGTGCAGGAAGGAGCACCAGACCCCGACTTGCAGGAGACCCTTCCAGCATCTGCAGCTTCCCCTCTTCACTGCTGCTCCTCATTTCAGCGCTGTAAGAAGGGTTTAACTTCTATTTTTAGAGTCACGGCCTCGTGTTTTGGTTGAAACAATCCTTGCATATGGGGATACCGGAGATTAGCTCAGGTTTGAGGATTAGGAGCATTATGGGGATTATATGTAGGGCTATGAGAAGATGCTCTCGTGTGGAGGAGTTTTGGACTGGTGTAATGTGGGATGGGAGAGTGCCTCGTTGGGTCATTATGAGCATGTATAGGGTGTATGAGGCAATAAGTAGGATTTTTGTGGCTCCTGCTAGGATAATTGCAAAGGTGGATCAGCTGAAAAGTGCGATTACAATCGTTAGTTCTGCTATGAGGTTTGTTGTTGGAGGGAGGGCTAGGTTAGTTAGGTTTGTTAGGTTAGCTAGGAGTCATCAGGTGGCTATGAGTGGTAGAAGGGGCTGAAGGCCTTGTGTGTTGGCTAAGCAGAATAGTATTGAAGAGGTTAAACCATGCGAGATTATTGGAATTATTGCCCCCTGTTACCACCAGAGCAGCAGCGCCGGGGCTGTCACCCAGCCCAGGTGCTGCTCACCTTCATCAGCTGCTTCTCCACCTCATCGATCACCAGGTCCGGGGGCTGCCGCCGCTCCCGGCACTCCAGGTTATCGATGACAACCGAGTAGGGCACCTCGGTGGCATCGAGTGCCCGCTCCAGCCGCAGCTTCTGGGCCGCCAGCAGGTTGGTCTCGGCGTCCAGCTCCATGATCTCCTTCTGCAGCTCCACCCTCCAGAAGTGGATGTCCTGCAGCCGCTGGCCCAGGGTGGCCTTGGAGTAGCCCTGGGCTCGCTGCGCGCTGGCGGCCGCATGCTTGACCAGGTGCTTGGCCTCGGCGCGGCCGCGCTCCGCCTGCTCGCCCGCCGTGTACGCCTCGTAGCAGACGCCCGCGTTGCGGCGGTGCCACTCGGGCAGATGGTACTTGGCGGTGCGCAAGCCGGCCACGGCCATGCCGCAGCAGGAGCGCGGCCTCTCGGTGGGGACCACATCGCAGGTCTTGCTGGGCAGCGGGCAGGAGGGAACGACCGGCGGGTGCGGCTCGTCGGGCTGCGCCATGGCGGAGCCTCCGCCGCTCGCCGCTCCCGCCCGAGCGTCCTCGCCTCACCGCGGCAACCAACGACAGGGCGGGCCCGCGGGTTGATGGACGGCAGCGTGCACCAATCAAAAAGCGGGTCCGCCTTGAGCGTGGCGCTGATTGGTGACTGAGCTGTCTGCGCCCGCCCCCACGCGGCTCGTTGCCGTGGTAACGGGAAGGCGGCTGCAGTTAAATTGGAAAGGCCGCGAGCTGCGGAGGGCTGAGGGGAAATGCCAGGGGTTTTGAGAGGGTGAGGGCATCTCGTTCCAGGAAGGAAAAGGAGGGGCTCAGATCTGGTGCTTAGCAGCACCTGGAGCCTGAAATCTGGTGTTTGCTGCCACCGCCAGAGCCCAGATCCAGAAATTTCTCTGTGCCAGCACAGCCTAAGTCCAGCAATTTGCTGGCACGGAAAGGCAAAATCCAGCAATTTCCCGACACCGCCCAGGTCTGGTAATTTGCCGGTGCCAGGACTCCAAATCCAGCAAATTGCCGGCGCCTGCACCACCCAGGTCTGGCATTTGCCAGCACCGGCACCGCCCGGATCCAGCAATTTCCTGTGGCTGGGGCACCTGGGGTGTCTGGCTGAGCAGCAAAGGTGACCCTGAGCCAGGAGCTTTCCTTGGCCACAGCAAAGCCTCAGCACGCAAAGACCTTGCCCTGTGCCAGGAGGGATTGTGCCAGCGGAGCTCACACAAAATTTCTTCTCTCCATTTCTTTAGGACACGCAACATGGAGAAGCCAGAGCCCACTCTCAGCTTTCTGGAATCCTCCAGAAGAACCCTGTGTGGGGAGCAGGGTTTGTGTGCCAGGATGGGCAGTTGAGAGCCTTTTTCTCCCCCATGGGCTGGGGGTCTGGGCCTTGCCCTTTCCAAGGGCCTAGGATGGCCATGGTGAGGGCGGCTCGTTGCCATGGTGACGGGAAATGGCGGGAAGGTGCCTGAGGGAGGTGTCATGGCGGCCGGGGCGGCCCTCATGGAACCGTAGGAAAGACGTTGAGATTGAACATGTCCAGATGAGAGCAACACGATGAAGAGCTTGGAATGCCAACATTTGGAAGAACAGCTGAGGGACCTGGGGTTGTTTAGCCTGGAAAAAAAGGAGGCTGAGGGGTGAGAGGATTTCATCCCAGTTCCAACCCCTCTGGTTCCTCACGGAAAATTCCAGAGAGCCCCCACTGGCTTTAGGCTGCTCGGTTGAACACATTTGTGCTCTTTGTTCTGCTTTTATTCCCAAATATTCGTTGTTGAGGCCTTTCCTGTGACTCTGGTCCTGTTGGGGAAAAGGGAAAAGAAAGGGGAAAAGGGGAATAAAAGAGGAAGGGAAGTTTGGCACTCCTGGAGGAGATGTGGATCTTGATGAGATTTGTGGAATTCTCTGGCTTGGGAAAGGTGCTTTTTCCAGCTGGCAGAACTTCAGGATGAACTTGGCAGGTGTGGGCAGAATTCCCACAGAGTTCCATAGGGAATCCCACACTCCAGGTGGATTTTAAAACCACCTCCCCATTCCTGCAGAGGGGAATCACTCCCATTTCGGAAAACCAGGGATGTACCAAGAAAATCAGGATTTGGAGGGAATTATTGCTCAGATTGCAGCTTCTCCCGGCACCTCAGAGCTTTGAGGGCAATTTTGGGAAGGATTATGGATATCCCTGCTGGATTACAAGAGTACTGGGAGAATTCCAGCCTCCAATCCTGTTTGCTCCCAATCCTCCCCACACTCCACACTGGAGCCGATTAGCTCTTGGAATAATCCCTGGAATGCAAATAATCCCAGGTCTGTTCTGGGTTTAGGATCTTTTCAGAGAATAAATGGGCTCTGACAGAATTTCTGGGGTTTACTGTGTAGGGAAGTGCTGATGTCATTTATTTAACTCCTTCATGGAAAAGAGGGATAGAGGAATTTCTGAGTTTTACTGTGTAGGGAAGTGCTGATGTCATTTATTTTATTCCTTCATGGAAAAGAGGGATAGAAGATTTTTTGGGATGCTGGCACCAGTTTGGGAAGGATGGATGAGGGATGCAAAAATCATGCCTGGGACAGCTCAAGGAAAAGGAAAGGAGCCCGCCCCTCCCGTCTTTCCCAGTTTTCCAGCCTAATAAAAGGATCAGGGATGGATGGATCCCCCTGGGGAGGGGACAGGGATACAAGTGCCCGCATTCCCGGTGTTCCCCCATTCCCGGTGTTCCCCCATTCCCGCTTTTCCCGGCACACATTCCTCCATGTGCCTGCGGCGCTGCTGCCGTGCAGGAGCCGCTCGCCCACGCAGCTCCAATTCCCCGTCTGGAGCAGGGATAAAAACCTGGAGCGATCCCAATCCCAACATTCCAGGCTGGCTGCTCCCGATGTGGGGGGACGGGAGGCTGGCGGGGGGGGGGGGGGGGGGGGGGGGGCACATCCAAGGGAATTTTGGGATTAGGGAATGTGGCTGTGCCACTGGGAGGGATTTTTATCCAGGCTGGAGGGGGATTCGAGCACAGGGATTTTATTCCCGGTGTTTGGAGCAGGGGATTCTCCGGGATAAAGGGAAAAGTCGGATGTGCTGGGATTTGGGGAAGCAAGGGGGGGATTTTGAATATTCCAGGTGTTGCTGGCTCTGATCCCAGCGCTGTGCCTGGAGTTTTGTGGGATTCCTTGTTTGTTTTCCACACGGGGAACATTCCTTGTTTTCCAAAGCAAATCGCTCTTTCGGGAGAGGCCACACGGAAAAGCAGGAAGGGAACGGGAGCTTCCCTATAAAATATTCACTGGCTCAGCTCCGCTGGAGCCTCCTGAGGAATTTTGGGATCTGGGATAATGAGGCTCTGCTGCTCTTCCCGCATTTCTGCCTCCTCCTGGCTCATCCCTTATTAATGTGCCCTTTCCGTGACTTTTCGGGATAGCTCTTCCTGCAGGAGCTTTTGATCCCTTTGTTCCTGCTGGAGGAAGGGAAAGCACCGCTGGAAAAATGGGAGAAGGGAATTTCCTTCATGGAATTTGTTCGGATTAATGGGGTTTTATGGAGGATCCCTTTGCAGCCCTGCTATGGATGAGAACACTGGAATTCTTCCATCCCAGCCTGGAAAACATTTTTATGGAAAAAAAGATAAATTCTTTTTCTCCTGGGGATAATCTGGAGTGCAAGAGGAGCCTCCTGGAAAAGCTTCCCCATTCCAGGAGGAACCTGGAGGCTCCTGCTGCTCAGATCATTCCCAGGATGGATCATTTATCCCATTTCCATCTTTTTTTTTATCCTAAAATCCCACTTTTGTGTGGGATTGACTCTGGAATGGTCAGGCCAGGATGATCCTGGATTGCTCCTGGAATGGTTTGGATTGGGAAGGGATCTCAAAGTTCATCCCATTCCAACCCCAACGCTTCCCATTATCCCAGTCCTCATCCAACCTTTCCTTGGACACTTCCAGGGATCCAGGAATTCCACAGCTTCTCCGGGAATTCCATCCCAGCCCCTCCCAGCCAGGAATTCCTTCCCAATATCCCATTTATCCCTGCCCTCTGGCAGCTGGAAGCTATTCCCCCTTTCCCCATCATTCCATACCCTTGGGGATATTCCCTCTCCATCTTTCCTGGACATTTCAATCATTCCCACCCAGCTGAGGGGATTTTCCTGGGAAAAAAAAAAAAAAAAAAACGGCCTTAGGTGGTTTTATCCCACTTTTTTTTTAATGCCGGGAATTCTCCATCCTTGAAATGGAAAGAGGGAAATCCAGGAGAGCGAAACACCGGGAATTGAAACCGAGGGAAAAGCGGGAGTGGGAGAGAATCGAGCGGGAGTGAGGTCAGCGGGAATCCTCGGCAGGAAAACCCGCCTGGTTCCCATGGAAACGCCCAGCCAGGATTTCACACTCCACGAGTTTCAAGTCGGCATTCCTTAAAAAAAAAAAAAAACGGGAAAAACCCAGGGAGGGAATCCTGAGGGAACCCCCCCTCCAGCACCTTTATTTTTCCTGCATGGAATGCGTGGATAAATAGGAAAATTTGGGAGTGGAGCACAATTCCAGGGAGCTGCTCCCAGTTCAGGCACTTTCAGGTGATTTTCCAAGATTCCAGAGGGTTTTGAATCATTTTGCTGTGGGTTCATCAGTGGCACAAGGAGCTCATTGGAAACTAAAGGAATTTTAGGGGATAAATGAAAGAAAATTAAGGAAGAAAAAAAAAGAGGGAATAAGAGGAGCTTGGAGGTCAAGAATCCATAAAAATCCTGATTTTCTTCTTGGGAAAAATATAGAATTGCTGGGTTTGGGGGGAAAAAGGAATTTTAAGGAGGATTTCCATTGGCAATGAGAGGTTGCCATGGGCAACAGGAATTCCAGCCCCGAGGTGGGAATTCAGGAATTCCTGAGTGGAGCAGGGATTCCCTTCCAGCAGCAAAGCTCATGGAAGAGGGAAAATCAGGGAATGCAGCTGGAAAATCCAATTAAAAAGAGTAAAAAAGGCAAAATTCCCGAGTTGGAGCTGTTGTGGATCCTGAAGGGTTGGAATTACAGGAGAAAATGGGAAGGGGTTTTCTGGGATGAAGTGGGATGAGTGGGAATGGGAATTGACAAAAATATTCCATAACTGATCCTCAATAAGTCAAATAATCTGGATTTTTGGGGATGAATCCCAAACTCCAGTGGCAGCTCAGGGCTGGGCAAATTTGGGAATTCTCTCTCCAGAGAGAATTCCAAAAGAAATCCATGGATTTAGCCCATAAACCTGGAGTAATGATAAAACTGGACTGGGAATTTTGTTATTCCTTATCTCCTTTGGGATACACCAGATGGATTTATTGGAGCTAAAATATCCCAAAAATCCCCTTTAAACAGGAAATAAACCAGGAATGACGCCCAAGGAGAGCCTGGAATCTTGGGAAGCTGCTCCAGCTTTCCCTGGGAATCCTGCTGGAATGAAAGCCCCCTGCAGGGCCATCCTGAGCCTTTGGAATTAGGGAATGGTTGGGGATGGAAAGCTCAGCTCCATCCCAACACCTCCCACAATTCCA